ACAATCATTTTGCAGTCCAAACATACCCAGTGAAGGGCACAGCACCACAGCCAGCCAGCAGCTGCACCAGGACATCCTTTAACACACCTCCGAAAGGAGTAAAAGATGACCATGGGCTTGTAAAAATAAGTGCAACAACATGTCTATTATTAAAACCTAACAGCAATTGCTATAGAGATTAAACTGTAACGAGTTTATTTCAAGTCCTGCCACGTTTGAAATACAGGCTAACAAAGTAAACCTGAGTAATCACGATGTCTTTTGATAAGTGAATCCTATTAATCTTTTTATTCAAAGGTACCACATTTATTTCTCAATGGTGCTGTTATCCCAGATTCCGCAGAGAGAAGCAAAAAGTTCACCTCTTTAAGAATAAAATTACATTTTACTTTATCCACGCCTCTGGTTTCTACTTATTCCCCTATTCAGGGAGGCAACTCCAGGTCAAAGCCAGCAGAAATGATCATACCTTTACCATGTTTATACAACACTCCTCTCACCACTTAAGTCTCAACTGACCTTTCATAAAACACTTTAGAGGAAAGCTGGTACATAGAGTGCTATTTATCACCGTCACACATTTTCACATAAGTATAGCAATTTCCCTAAGTACATACAATGCTAGTATGCCCAGGAAGTAACAGTGACAATTTTTTATTCCCCTATGAAATATTTCAGTGTAAGACTTGATTATTCACTAACAATCTGCTGCTCGTTCGAACCACTCTTTGGATGTAGGGATATTTTTTTGGCCACCAGTACTGGCATTTAAGTGATTTTTTTTTTCCTGTGGTTTTTTGTTTGTTTCCCCACACCCCCAATATTCTCTATATTAAAAGAGTCTATATTCAGCACACGCATTCACAGGCTATGCTTCTTGTCCTATCTTCTAAGCTCTCAAGGAACAGTTTTCCAGTAACCTACAAAGCTACTCAGCTTCTACCACTTTGTTTTTTCTAGCTTTATAAATAATTCAGCCTACCACTAGAACATGTGGTTGTTTTTTTTTTATTTTAAACTTACATTTTGCAACATTCAAGTGATGAAGGCGACTGCTGCATATGCATAATTTGATTATGTTCACATATATCATACAAGATGTATGCGTAGGATTAAGTATTCATGAAAAATAAAGTCACAATTCCTGGCAGATAAACTACCTGTGATGAAACCAGATGAGGTTCAACACATCATAATAACAGGTCATCTTCTACAAACAAAGCTCAAGGTTCCATACTGCATTCAGCAGTCAAACAAAGTGTTATTTTAACAAGTACAACAAACATTTGGATTTTTGCCCAATCCACTAAGGCTGTTCTATCACCAAAAAAAGGCTCTTTTTTCTGCTTGCTACTGGCTCTAATAATGTCACTTTACCTTTGGCCATCAGTATTTATTTAAATTAAATTTGATTCAATAATAGTAAAGTATTTCATATAGATTCACAATGAGTAACTATTCTTGCTTTACGTTTTTACCTTTTTGGAAAAAAAAAGGCAACTTCACAAGCTAATTAGAAACAATAGCAAAACAATAATCTCAACAATCCACTCTTATACAAACCAAAAAGTTAATTCCCCCAACATTTTTCAAGAAAGCTGTACGCCACATAGTTACATAGAAGAGCTGAAAAGAAATTCTGAAAACAGGAAGAAAGTTTCAAATGAAACTGAAAAATAGGTTGAGCCAATTTAGCTACCAAGCTTCTACTGACTACTTGATGCCAAGACCCTTTTCAAACATGTTGCCACAGACAGAGCCCTTGAGAATGAGATTCTGACTTTTGAACAAGTCAACAAACATCTTGATTTTTTCAGCTGCATAACACTAAAATCAAGAAAAGGACAAATGCCTACAAGTTTCATTAGGATGTCTTCTATCTACTATTTCTATACTCCTATTCTTGTAAAACATGTTTATCTCAAGCCAATAGCTGTATCAATACCATTAAAACACACTCAGCCTGACAGCTCCATTAAGCTGAAGAAACAATTTATACAGATTAAATATAAACAAAATTCAAGCACTAAGTCTCAAGGTTATAAAGGCATTGTTTTAGTCGTAGACTATTAAGTCAACCGTGTGCGTACTTAAGACTCTTTAGATAAGAGTAACCTTGAGCTGTGGTTTTCAGGGATTTCACCAATAACCTTGACCAGTGTTCCCATGGTATCCCTATGCCAAAAAACTTGATTACACCACCTTGAATTGCATAATGAACCTAAATATGTACTGTTTATTCCCTAGGAATCTGATCATTTATTTACTCTGGGATCAATGCTATTAAAGAGCATTTTTAATTAGTAAAGAGTTACTGGCAGAACTGTCAAAGGAAACAACGTTTTGAGTAAAAAGACAAACAAGATAAATAAATTGTTCAGGATACTTTGGAAAATTGAACTTATTCAAATAAGCAACAGAGTACAGCTAAACACCAGGTCAAATATCCAGGACAAGTAAAATAAGCTCAATCCATTTTTAAAAACTGTGACTCTTGAAAATAGCCCGAGGAGGAAGAAAGCATAGAAAAGCATAGAAAAAGCATAGAAAAAAGCCAGCTGAGCCACACTTCTAATTGGAGCAGCAAACAATCCATCTTTGTTTTAAAAACACGTGATTAATTATAGGGAGGCATTGTTTATGTTCAGTGATGACCTTACCAAAAAAATGCTATACTCAGGGACTCTGTCCACTCTTCCACATATGTATGCTAAAACTCAAAGAGGGATCACAGAAGAACTCCTGGAATTCTAACACTTAAAAAACACGTTTTATCAAAATAGATTTGGATTCAAGCCTGTAAATTTTATCACAGTTTCTAAGAATCCACACAAGGCAAGTCCTGTTGCTAGTGAGGAACTCTATTCCAGGAGCTGAGCTGATAGTTACAGCCTCAGCTGAACTTGGACCAGATGTTGTGAGTACATCTAACCACAGCACAACTGACAAAAAGACTAAACCTTTCTCACTTTAAGTGATAGTACGTAGACAGAGCTGCATCACAAATTGTAAGAAACAGCTTTGTGACCGAGATCAGCTCTCAGGCAATTCTACAGCTTGTGTTGCACAGGTGATCAGAGCACAGTAACCTGTATCCAACATCAAAATACCTAAGTTTATCTGCATTAGAACAAATCAATTGAAATAGCAATAGGTCCAGTGCAGAAAGAGAGCCTGATGTTTGAAAAGCAAATCAGAAAAGAACAAACCCAACATGACAAGAGATTTAGGTTGGGAAGCTATCAGTTCTGAACAGCAGACCATTCAAAAAGCTTCGAATTTATCAAACAAAGTGAGTCAAATTTAAGATGCTTTTGATTTATGCCATTCAGTAAGTCAGGAATCAAATTTATCTTATCATCAGAATCCTAATAAGTGAATCCTTTCTGTCCACATATAGTCTTCATCTTTGCTGAAGTGCCAACAGATCTCTTAGTGTAGATGGAGTAAGAGAACAACCAGTACTAAAAGCAGCCCTGAAATTGCAAGCACTCCCATGTATTTCAAATCTATTTAAAAAAAACTACCTAACTCCATTTAAAAAGAAAAGCACATGCATACACATTCAGCCAACTGTTCTCAGATGCCAAGAAAAAATGTGTTAAAGTCCATCTTCAAGAAGTGCTGAAATATTAAGCTAAATACTAGAAGCTCTGTCAATTTTCTTCCACAGATACTCAGACTTTGTAAATTTTGTAAAAATGTATTTTCCTTTATGCTGGCAGCATACCTGTAAGGAGGCATGATTCTTAAATAAGACTGAGTCTACTTAAACTGGTGTTCACCTATCAAAAAATAGCGGCTAATACCACTGAAACTTTTCCATAACACCTCAAATTTAGTATAGGAGAATGCACAATATGAAGCAAGTAATTAGAAACAAAACTGCCTCATGACAGAATTCAGAACACGGAGGGAAGGGAGAGTGGGGGCGGCAGAAAAAAAATCACTGTAACATTTTTTGGTTTGGAGCTGGGAAGGAAGCATATTTAACGATAATTCTGCAGGATGAAACTTCCGTAACAGTAGTCAAACACCTCCTGCCAGTTTACAGTCAAATTCCTCTTGAGAGCACCAAGGTCAAGAATCACACAAAAAGCAACACTGAAAGCTGTACTAAGGAACAACAACCATGCAAACAGTGAAAATGAATTAACACATAAGACTCTTCAATTAAACTGACAGAATTTGCCCTTATCTGTTCAGCTGAATGGTACTTACAGCTTGCATTAAGATTGTCTTTTTAATTTAACTACATGATTTCTAAAGAAGAAACTAAATCTAACCAAAAACTCTGCTGAGAACTGAGCAGCTCATCACCATCACAGTTCTTTCAGAAGGCTAAAGGAGACCTAAAAATGATCAGGACCGGTTAATCACACTCACTCCTTTACCCAAGAGCAAATACAGCTCTAGAATTCTAAAATCCAAGACTGAGAAGTACAGTATAGCATGGTATATACAAAAAAACCCCAAACCAACGCTTGTGTTGATAAGGAAGTAAAACACAAAACCCAAGAACTTCTGCAGTCACCAACATGTTAGGCAGATATTAAAGACGTGGGAAGCCATGTATCAAGTAAAATGAAAATCCAGGTTTTCAAAGCTATTTATGGTAACCAGCAGCCACTTCACAAAGTGTGCTAGTACGCAGTTTAACTGTATTAAAAATACTTAGAATCACAGATTGTCTAGGTTGGAAGGGATGGAACACTCTTAAGCAGCAAAGTGTTAGCTTACGAAATTGTACGCCTATTTAAATCAAACTAAGCCACTACCCAACATCACCTCATTTTTACCCTGCTCCTAACCCAACAACACTTGAGGTTAAACTTTTGAAGTGCTTTTGGTCAGCTTGTTTAAGGAGAACATAACTTGTCTTCCTCAACATTAGGTTTTATGGTCATATTTAAGAGCGTATCAGTCAAACAATCCATCCCATTTGTAACATAATCCACCCCACTACAACTGAAAATATAATAATATATTTCTTCCATTACCTGTCTCTGAAATATAAACAACAGGATCCCGCTTTACAACTTTACCAAGTTTTGAAGCAGCTGCTTTGTTCTCAGATGGCTTCTTGGATTTTTTCACTGGCTGCACCTCCTCTTCTGAATCTGTATTTTGACCACAACATAAATGTAGAGTTCCTCCACATACACACAGGCTTTAAGTAATAGATCACGTAACATCAGTTAACGTGTTCACATATATTTGAGAAAAAGATATCACATGGAATGTCAGAGCACAGCTTCCTTTTTCTCCATCAGCTAACAGCCTAGCCATTGTTTATTCCAGCATATACATGACTAAATGAAAATTTGGTCAGAACTCAGTCTAGACAGTGGGTTTTGTTTATATAACAAACGAAATATTTTTTGTTACTTATTCCAAGAACTGCTAAGACTATATAGAAAAACCTTTCCAAAAAGGAATGCAACTGTCAGAGCACCATACAAGGTTACTAAAAAAAAAAAAAAAACCACACCACCACCAAAAAACCCCAAACCAAAAACCACCACAAGCTTTGAACATAAGATTCATTAGCCTAATCAAACTGATTTGTATGGCATTATATTATGTTATGCTGGTGTATTCCATGACATCTATTCCAAAAGCTAACAACAGGCTAAAATAGCTAACTGAGGTTGCTAAAAAAAAAAAAAAAAAAACACACCACCACCAAAAAACCCCAAACCAAAAACCACCACAAGCTTTGAACATAAGATTCATTAGCCTAATCAAACTGATTTGTATGGCATTATATTATGTTATGCTGGTGTATTCCATGACATCTATTCCAAAAGCTAACAACAGGCTAAAATAGCTAACTGAGGTTGCACTCTGATTTTTCAGGACACTGGTAGACTGCCACTCACCTCACCAACCAGTCTCCATATCCCAAAAGTTGTCAATATGACAAACTTACACCCCTGTGGATTATGTATCCCAACATCCAAATGAGCAAGCACGATAAACTGAAGAAGCAGAGACAACTAGCAAGGATAACAGAGGACTACCCTTCCGAGCCTCTTACCGTGATAAACACTAATATATATTGTAATTATTAAAAAAAATAAACAAAAAAGTGGCTGTGGTCAATTGACTTGAGCATCCATCTGCCCAAAAAAAAATAAAAAAAATAGAGCTCTATTTCTCTATTCCTGTCCTACTACTAATGGGCTAGGATTTGCAAAATCTCCAGACAGCATCAGCACTTTAGGAGTTGAATTATATATTACTTTGGTACTCTGCCTGTTAATGCAGAAATATTTCTGCTTCTGTTCCTCACTGCTAAGCAGGAACTGTTTATAGAACAGCTGAACTGAAGAACACATTTGTCTCTATGCAATAGCATTATTCTGACAGATGTCTGTGTGATCATTTTTCTCCTACAGTTCAGTCTTCTATTGTTAAGAAGACCACTCCTAAAAATTCAAGCTGAACTCTTCAGTAGGAGTCTACTGAAAAATTGTAGAAGCTCCTGAAACCTCTTCTACAGTTTCACAACAAATATTCAAGATTCAGAATCCAATCAGAGAAGGATTAAATGACGTAACAGCTCAGACAGATTAAACTAGAAATGTCAAGCTTTTAAGTTGAACTAATTTAACATAACAGGCAAGGGTTTAGGTTTTTCTAGTTGGGAGGATTGCTTTTTCTTGTTTGGTTTGGGGTTTTTTTTAAGATATAAGGGCTATAAGAGGGGCTTCCTGTATTCTAATATTCAAAAAAATATTTTTAGAATGTGATAGTAGTGATTTAAATCATATTCTGTGTTCCATACTGTAAATTTAAAATGGTGGGGTGAGCATTTACTGGATTTTTTTAGTACAGAAAGGCACATATGGAAACACAAGTTAGCCTTTTAAATCAATCTCCTATATTATGTTCATGCAATGTGCAGAAATGTGAAATTACACTATATGATCACCCTCCCGTACCCAGCGTAGGATGGTATTTATCCCTAACGGAACAGGAAACCTAGAACTCCCCACAACTTACATACATCTTCATAACAAGAAAAAAAAAAAGTTCTAGAGTTTTGATGGAATTTACTACCTGAACTTCTGTTTTGGGGGTAGGAGGAGTGTTTGCTGTTGGTTTGATTTTTTTTTTTTTTAAACAGAGGTTTTGTTACTTTGCACTGTGTATTACACACTGCACTCTTATTATTATATTTAGAAATCCAGCAATAATTACTGTGGAAAATGTTTTTAATTGCATTTACTAAAAAAAACAAAGCACAACTTTCTTTCGGATGCACCATTTACCTAATTGACCCTGAAGGCTGATGCAAAAGATACAAAGGAGTATTCAGAATCAACTGTGAACACTACCTGAATCGTAGATTATTCTTTTTTTCTTGTGAGTCCGCTTTTGTTTGGAATCATCTTCACTGGGTGAATTATTCACCTAAGAGTAACAGTCCATTAGTTCAACCAGTAAACAGGTCCTTCCAGCTTTTACTCAGTTACACATTCAAATTTACAAGTTTCCAACAAATTCTAACAAAAATTATTTATTTCCCAATACTACATTTATGAACAGTCTTGTGCTAACTCATGGGTGGGATGGGGAAAAGTGCAGGGCAGAGGAAATAATGAAGAAACTGCAACAGTAAAGCAAAACATGCTCCAAGCAAACCATAGATGATTACGTTGCAAATAAATATTCAAGTTTAATGCCAATTAAAGTAAATCAAACAGATTTTTGAGCACTTCCAACCTTTAATCCAAAAAAGAAATTGCATGGTCCCACCATAAACAGAGGTCACACAAGCCAATAAATTACTTGTACAGAATTCAGCTTTCACTTTTGGTTCTATTCTGGATACGGCTCTGCTGTAACCACCAGAATGAGACACAACTTCAGAGTAAAATATTGCCAATTGAAAAAGGAAAAAAAGCATACACAACAGTTGAAGCCAGACTGATTTCCTGTTCAGCGTCCTGGCTGCTTGCAGCTTCTCCTCTCACTCGTTAAGCCGTGCAATTACCGTAACAGATTACACCAACAATCAGAGTCCACAAACATGTCCTATCTAGCAGCACCAAGTATTAAACTGTCTGAAGGAATTTTACTTTTTTAAAAACACTGCCAAGTTTTAGATATTTAGAAAAATCACAAGCTGCACAGCTAGCAAGTTTCCTGGGCCTACCCAACTACCAACTACACTTCTTTTGTAGTCATGCACAGCTGTAAATGCTTCAAAAAAAAAAAAATTCTAGATAAACATAACTGTACGTGCTTTATAATCCACATTCAATTCTAATCTGAAACTTGCTAAATTATCTACATAATTGGAGAATTGAAAAGTAAAAATGTAAGACAATTGCTGTGTCTTTTAGTTCTACAGAACAGTTCCTTACTTTCACATTGAGATAATGAAATCATACAGCCAAAATATTTTTTTAAATAACATATTACTTATTCATTGTGATGCTTCACATTAAACACTCCATCCTGTTAGAAATTTTTCCATCCTCTAAGTGATTTTGAAGTCCGTTTTAGCCACTCCTTTCTTTTTTTTATACCAGTTCAGATGATTAACATAAAAAGTCCTCTAAGATCAAAGCCCAATCTAATTTTAATCCATCATTTTACAGAATTTGGCCTTTGCAGCAGATTTACGCAAGTCATCACATCCAAGAAAGGCAATGTTAATGTTTCCCCCACAGGTGGTTAAAAATCACTGGGTTAAAAAACCTCATCAGAGAGCACCTACATCACAGACTTTTGCCTTACTTGAAAGCATGACAACTTTATGATTTGTCTATGAGACTAAAAATTAAATAAGCGGAACTACTTAAAAGAAATGTGGGCCATAGCTAAAATAACTTCAAATAGATTGCTAATTTTCAAAATATTTGGGTTGTAGGGCAGGGAGCATAGGTAGAAGTTACAGTGGTTAGGTGCCACTGTAGGCACAATATTGCTGCTAGAAGTTGCTATTAAGTGGTAGTTTCCTCCCATGCCTATAAAAACAACTGACATATAGCCTGGTTTTTGAGTATACAAGAAGGACTATGATTTTAAAAAAAACGCCAGAGATACAAGCAATCCTACATCAAATAAGAAAAGCAAACCTTTGCCTCCTTTCCCTTTTTCTTCCCACTTGAGGGTCCTTCACCATTTTTAATTTTTTCACTCTTTTTCACAGTCTCACATTCTTGTCGCTTCCCAGGAGGTACAACGCCAAAGAATTTCCGGATATCCTAGTAGAAGGGAAAACAGATGTATAAATTTTTAAACACAGATAGCTCTTAGAAGTTTCACACCACAAAACAGCAATACACTTAAATTACTTTCTCAGGACCTCCTCTGTTACAGTATTCGTTGCTCTACAAATTTTGTTTACAACTGAGAAAACAAAGCCCAGTTAGATAAACATAGCTGCTCAGACACTGCACCGGCTTTCTCTTGTCTTTGAATCATGAAAAAAAAGTTTATTTCTCCCTTAGTTGGACACCTTCAGCAATGCACACTTCAGAACAAACTTCCACTAGCAATAAAACACAGCGACTTAAGACAAATGTCTAATTAGAATTCTTTTTTACCCAATTAATCATCACAAACCTAGCCCAGAGTATTTCTGTAGTTAAAGTGATTAACTCAGCTATGAAGTAGTGTCCAATGTAGACAAACAGAAAAGCACCAAGAGCTAGAAAGCAGTCAAGTACTGGGACAGGCTGCACTCTCCACCTTCTCATAAATTTAGGAAAATAACTCTTATCTCACTAATAAAAAGTCAGCCAGAGACAGATTAAGATTGAAACAAAGAGAAAAAGCTTAATACAAAGAGCTCCAAAATGTCTATTCTGTAACCGTATTATCTGACCGCACTAGAACCATAAAAAGCTCTCTAAATACATAAAATCATCAGCTGAAGCTTCAGTTTTAAAAAAGCACTATTGTACCAACAAATCCAAATCTAACTTACGTTGGAAAAAACTAGCATTTCAGTTTTATTAAAAAGACATCGAAAAAACGTGTACCTTTTTGGTGTGACTACCTCCAGGGGCAGCTGCCATTTTAGAGAAAGAAAATGCCTCATATGGCCCAAATATATAGCAGGTCACGGGTGTGGCTCCTACCCAGCTGATAGTTATTCCCCATCATGGACCTCGTCAGGGTTCTTTCTGATTGTTATAGGGGACTACAAGTAAAAGTAGTAAATTCTTAAGAAATCTCCCTAAAAGTCTGATGGAAAGAAAGGGTATTCAGGCTCCTTTTCTTCTACCGCTCAGTTCCCTGGCAGTTTGGATATGGATTATCAGAGCCTATAGGGCTTAAAATCAATGGAATATGTAATTTGAAAGCACACACAAAACATGGGACACATATAGACTTATTTAGTATATTTAGCTTAAAACAATTTTCTAGAATCGGACGTGTTGATGCCTGTAAAAATTCAGACTCTTTATGTGTTACCTGCAGATAATAACATGGATTCAGCAAACAGCCAATGGCAGACTGGGAAGCATTCTTCCCCAGTGAGACTTCACAAATTTCCTTCTATGGAATTCATGCCTCAAGGCATCAATTCTCAACACTGCTATTTTACATCTACTCCTACAATACAAATGCAGTACTATATAAGCTCTGAAATATTGCCTGCCAAAACCTATAGCTAACAGGTTTGAAGACAGTGTCTATTTAAAAAGTCTTGAAGTAGATCTGGGGACTCAATCAATCACTCAATCATTATTACTGACTTTTTTTTAGGCTTAAGGTAACATAGGCAACAGAAAAATTGATTTCAAGTCTCAATAGATCTTTTATGTAATAAAATAATTTACATGCTTAGTACAACACTGCAAAATAAAGTGACATTAAAGTTTTGTTTTCATTTTTCATAGTTGTTACTTTTAGACTTAAAATATTTGGAGAATAATTAATTTTAGATCAATAATAACACTTCATTCTAGTATTTAAGCCAGAAACTGTTAACTAGTAAATGAGCTGCTTCTGTAAACACCACATGCAATAATATTAGATTATGTTTTTAAGGGACATATAAAAGGAAGTGCCATCATCTCTTGCTTTATGAAATACAAACTTAATAACGAAAATATATGAAATTAACCTGTCTGCCCCAGCTTCTTCCACTATTTTAATATCACAGTTCCTGAACTGCTAAGGCCCAAATTATAACATGTAAATTATTATTTTCTGCCTCATCAATTCTCATGATCAAGTTAACTCTTCATAAACACTTTTAATTCACAAAAGGAATGCCACAGCTATAAGCCCTGCTACGTTTAACGTGTTATGAAGAAGACCTAAACTGCCACTTCAAACTTTTAAAAAAATAGTATCTACTCAGGGTCAGATTAACAAGCTATTTTCCCCTAAATCACTTCATAAACAACTAAAATAAATGCCTGACAGTCAACTGCTACTATCTTTTATAATGCAGGTAGCATTTCATCAGATTAACAGGTCAAATGAGAATAAATAATTTTATTTTTTTTTTATTCAAAGCAGCATCTTCTATCTGTTTATTACGAAAGCACTATCCATACAAATACTATTTTTACTTCGAGAGTACTGTGATGATACAGCAGCTACATATTCCAAAACTGCCTCCCTACACAACACATTCTATTTCCTTGACAAACTGCGCTTCAGTCCTCAAGGCAGCTTTTTCCTTTTATTTTATTGTTACATGCCTGCATTGACTTCTTCAGAAAATACTGTGTATGCCAAAGCACACAAGCCACCTAGAGGTTTCTGAATAAAAGTTTGTATTTGGGCAGTAAATTTTAATTTCCCATAGTGACCACATACTTCTGAGTGACTAAATAACACAGCCCTAAGTGACAAAGGAAAACAGACATGTATGTACAACCTTCTTCAGAGTTATAAATCCTCCTTCAGCTATCCTGCTCTTTGGAAGATCCTATCCCAGACGGTATCGCTTGCCTCCATTCTGGGCTTATCTATTTAACATACTCTAACTGACCACCTTATCGGAATATCATGCCATGTGTATATATGAGTTGACCAGGTGGCAAAACTCTGCACGTTCAGCTTTTCTCTGAGCTCATTCAAATGAGGAAGGGCATGTACCAACGTAACTGGCAACTTTCCTTCCAGGACGTTCCCCAAAATACCACAGGAGTCCTCAGCCTTGGGTTATCCTAGAGATGGCTATCCCTTGCCCAGAAGACTAAAATTGAAGAGGCGAGGCTGTACTAGTGTAGCTCCCCAGGGTGATGTGTAACTTCGAGCAGTTCCACAATAGGTGGAACTATGTAAGAATTTCTCATCGCTCTCACTAAATTAGGGGAGTAATTGATGCATAGCATCCAAACAGCCCAAAAAGCTGTGTTTGGGTGCACTGCTTCCTGCTCAGCTGTCTTAGCAACCGTACAATCTCAGTAACGGCTGCGCTGTCTAGCTCTTGCCAGCTTTGACTACTGCTGCAATTCCTCCATCTTATGCAGTAATAGTAGACCATAACAATTAATCGTGTCAGGTTGCAAGTTTTCTTTTGAGAGATTTGTACCTGTCTGTTTTACTGAGGAGAAAGAACAGGAATAGAAAATGAAACTGATTTGTTAGGTAGGACAAAGACTGGTGACTCGAAAAGTTTGTCAAGACCTTAGTAAAAACCCAGATCAAAAAAGTCAGTTATAAAATTCATAAATACTCCATGCTGGTTTTTTCCTGTGTTTCAAAAGCATCCTAAACCAAAGATCAACTACTCCAGCACTTTGATGAAAGAACCATCCCAACCAAACCATAATAGGCCCAGTGTTTTTAGAAGACTAGAGTTGAGTAAGGCAAAATATTTTCCAAAATAACATTATATAATTCAGTTTGCACCTCAAATTACAATACAAGATAGAAAACTGAATTCCACCAACCTAGCTCAATGACTGCAATACAAAGTAATGCACCTTATTTCAGGTATTCTGAAATGTTGGGCCCTGCATCAAAAGATTCCTATTTACAGTCTGCCTATTTCAGTGCAACCTTTGTGCAAACATCAGCTCTGACATCCAGAAAAATTGCACTAACTAAAATCAAATTTATAGCATCACTTCAGTGAAACCAGTCACACCTGCCTGGATAACTGTATTTAATGTTTACTAATAGTGGCAACCGGAGCACAGGTAATATACAGTATTTTTTAAGCAGGATCCCAGTTCTAAGTCCACACCAGCTGATGCTACAGCTCTGCCTGTGTGAGTGACTCTCTCAGCTAGAGGCAGCTCAAATAGCCCCTCCTCCCAGTCATTTATTCCCTCAGTTGAACCGGATAGCTCTCTCTGCTTGGGAACTGGGTCAGGCCACTAACCTGGGTAAAAAAATACATCTCTTCTAAGACAAATCAGTTAATTGTGTAACTCTACACACACCAGTTCAGTACAACTGAGAAGATGCTGCAGAACCAACCCAAGGGGGGCTACGTGACAAACAAGTCTGTTTGTAAGGTTATGGCACTGAATTCCAACATGCTTGTGCTGTCACTGCACACACAAATCAGGCTACAGGGTTACTAATATGACTGTATTTTCACCTCTGTCTCTGCAGCTGCAGCTGTGATGGCTGTTCAGCCTCTTCAGCACTGAAAAGGGAATGGGCTGAGGTAACTCATCCCTCTCCCCAATGCGATGGTTGTCTCCCTTCCTTCTACCACACTGCCAGATGTTGTGAGACGTGTGACATTCAGTAGGATGCTACATAGGGGGAGAAAGCCTTTGTCCCAGGAAGGTGGGGAAAGGAGGAAGCAAGTCTTCCAGTAAGGCCAGTTTTCTGAGGAGGTGGTGGCAGGGAACAGGAGAGGCAGACTTGTCCAGAAAGCCTTTGTCCCAGGAAGGTGGGGAAAGGAGGAAGCAAGTCTTCCAGTAAGGCCAGTTTTCTGAGGAGGTGGTGGCAGGGAACAGGAGAGGCAGACATCAATTTAACATCATACATCAATTTAAAGCCATCAGCCACCCCCAACATAATATGAAAATATCACAGTTTAAGAGTTTCAGGTTTGTTAGTGCTGGCAGACCTCTGTCAGTGCTGTGAAAAGACTCAGACTGTATTGACCATCATCACTGAGCATCAGGTGTAAGATACAAACCAGGCTGGAGAGTCCAAAACCAAAGCTGAACCTAACTGGCTTTGAATGTGGTTTGTAATTAAGCCAGTGAAACACCTGCACAGAGACTCCACCTGAGCATAAGCAGCTTCACCTGTGCAGAGGTGAAGAGGGGACACCACCTTATCATGGCTGCAGCAGTGAGCACCACCCATACACACGAACATGTATGGATACACATTTACAAACTCTTTACACCCTGTTTAGGATTGTTTCCTTCCTTATTTACAATCAAGGGCCTACTTCCAAACTTTTTTAAGTTGGAGGGGTTTTCTTCCCCATTTAAAACTGGTTTTCTGCAAATATAGCACAGCGGCCAATTCGGCAGCAGAAACACCCTCGCCGTGTGTTCTTACTGAAATCAAAGGCCGAGTTAAAACTTCGGCAGGCTGCCTTCAGAGAGAGAGGCCGGCCCGACCGCCTCCCCCCTCCCCCAGCCCGGACAAGCCCCCGGTCAGCCCCTGATCCACCGCCCGTTCTCGGGAGGGCGGCCGGAGCGGCCTCAGACCCTTCCCCCTCGGGGCAAGGCCACAACCGTGGGCGCCTTCCTCGGCCGGGGGTTTATTTCCCTGGCACCCCGGGGGAGCCGGGCCTCGGCGGCCCCTCAGAGCGGCGGGAAGCGCGTGAGGAACGCCTCTCCCCCGCCGCCTCACGCCGCTCCCGCCACGGCCCCCCTCAGGGCCCGGGCCCAACGGCCGTGGGGCTGCGGGACGCTTCCCTCCCCCCGGGGAAGAACCGCGTTGCGTTGCGGGGCACTCACCATGGCGGAGGTTTATCTGGCCTAGCGGGACGCCTCCATGCCACCCGCCCCCCCGCCTTCGCGCCAACTCCGGCAGGGCGGCGCGCGGCGCTGGCGTCACAGCCGCGACGGGCGGGGCGGTGGCCGCTGGGGGCCGGCCGTTAAGCTGCGGCCTCGTCCCTCCTTCAGTCGTGTCGTCCCCCCTTCAGTCGTGTTGTCCTCCTCCACACACTCCTCCTCCTTCAGGCGTCAAGGGCCTTCCCCGCCCTGCAGCGGGGGTTTAACCGCCTCTAACCGCTCCGCTGGAGCTCGCGGAGAGCCCCGGGCAGGCCCCGCGCTGCTGAGGGAAGGAATGAGGAAGAAGGGTCGCACCCCCGAAATGGCGGATAGGTGCGGCCTGGGTCACCGCTGGCAGCCTCAACCGTTCTGACAGAACTGCTGAACGGTGCCGGGCCTCCATCAGCTTGATCGCTTCTTAGTGCACTGAGGCCGGCGAAGCATCCTAGGTGCCCAGGCAGCTCATACGCAGGCAGCAGGGCAGGGCCCGTGAGTCAGGTCTGAATCAGCGCAGCAGGTAACAGCAGTTCCCTGTCATAAACCTGTGCGCCTCCCTTATTTATTCGTCCCTGGTTGAGCAGGAATCGTCAGGCTTCGATGACAGTATCTTCTCCCAGACATTAAGGCTTAGGGAGGCTCGCAGGCTTCATCCGAGGAGTCCCGAGAGACACTGGGGAGTTACACTCTTCACCCACTGTTTCATTTCTAACCAATTTATAATGAAATCTTGTGTGTTTTCTTCCATTTTTGACCCCTCTATTTGCTGAACACTGGAAAGGAATAAACTTGGGTAAACGAAAATAAAAAAAACAACCACACAGTTCCCCTCCTGATAATTACTTGTCTGATGTTTAAATTCTGCCAACCTACTAAATCTTGTATTATTGCTAGTCTTGGAAAAGAAGGGAGGGGACAAACAAAATTTGTGACATTCAAAATATTGCCACTGATTCAGAAAACCACTCAGAGAGCACAAGCTCAAATTGAACTGTCTCAAAGTGCAGTTTCCAGTGCTATCATTTTATATCTTCAGTGTTGGCTTCATAGAGATAAAAGCCAGATCTTTTTATCCGATCTGAGAAAACATGAAAGTTAATGATGCCTATTACCATTCCTGTTTAGTTCTTTAAATTGTGCTTTAAGTAATCATAAGATCCTCTTTGTATAGAATATGCTGTTGTTCGTTTATGAATGCACATGCTCAAGTGGACTCATATTTTCAACGTTAGCACAGCTTGTGAATTTGGATTTCTGTATAAGGAACACACAACGTAGCGAGCAAGCAAAAGCAGACCCACAGCACTGGCTGTGCTTTTCAGCCTGTTGTGCAAGGCATTCCATATGCACTCCACTATAATGGCTGTGCAAACAAAACCGCTATCTCTTTAGAAAAACATCTCCAGTGATATGTTTGCAGTTACGTATTTAATTCTATTATGTAATTTTTAAAGCTGTGCGTATTCCTGATACCAGAACTAAGGAGTAGTTAAAATGGCTGACGTTTGTAAGAGCCAGACAAACTGTTTAAGTAATGCTAAAAGAATTATTGCAGGTGGTTATCTCTATTTGTAGTTGATAAAGCTACCTAGAATAACATCCAGCAGACCAGTATCTGCTTGTGGGCTTGTGACATGTGCATGTTTCTTAGAAGGTAAGAGTTTAACCCTTAGGAAGAAATCAGACTTGGGGATGGTGGGGAGACAGAGGATACCTCTGTTTCTACATGCATGGCTATGAAAACACTGAAGTGGGAAAAAACGTGCTCTGCCACAGGAAACAAAAATGAATACTCATGGTATTGTGATGTGCTTTGCAAGATAAAATGAAGGCAGTAACCCTCTGGAGTCTATAATTGAACAGGGGTCATATTTTAAACGCATATTACCCAACTAAAAGTACAGCTTTTTAAAAAGCAGCTAGAGTACTCTCAGTATCATCACTCTATTCACAACTAAGACAAATAATTTAATATTTTGCTTACTGAAGTCTTTAGTAAAGAAAATCAAATTTGTGTCACACTGTAGAAAAAGGAATTAGCATTTTGTTGCAGACTAAAAATTCCAAAAATTCTTTGTCAATCTGTGGTCTAGTTTCTATTTACATTGGGCTTTCTATAGTATCCATCACAATTATGTGTCTTTAGAAAGACTTGATCCCATCTCAAACAGTTTTTGCTGCATAAGGTAAAGGTAAGAGGTAAAGAGTAAGTGTTTGATTTGCATCACACTGTTGAGGGCAGTTACGTAAGCTGTGCTTTTTTGAGCACCTATCGCTAGCGGATCTGAACAGCTGATATTAATGTAAACATCACACTTTTTCTGAATGAACTTTTTCTTTAGGTCTTTTCTCTCCCTCCATTTGCATATCTAGGCAAAATTAATGTGTCTTAACTCAGATACTCAGCATAACCTTGCAGACATTCGAAGCTCTACTGCTTTCGTCCAATGTGTTGGCATTTCTGTGGATCAAACCCCAGGTTTTCAAGCCGAGCCGCTAAAGCAAGGATCGATGGTCAAATGAAAAGTTGGTTTCATAATTTGAGTCACTTGCTTTGGCAGAAGCAAGAATAAAAAGTGAATTTGATAGCTAAGAACTGAACTGCATAAACAATTGGCTTCCCAACTACTGTGACAGTAATGGCAAGTGCCTTGGGGACCACAGCATCTCCCACCCTTGCTTCATTCTGAAACCACATTCATTAAGTGCACAGCTGGAGGCAGGAGGACATCCCACTGGGCAGCATCACACTAGAGTCCATTTATAGCATTGGGGTTGGACCTGCACTGACTCTGCTGCTTGAGCTAGTAGAGTAATTAATCCCTTCCTCTTCCCCTCCCTTTGCACCCTCGCTTCTCAACAGTCCCTGATCACATCTCACTCGTCTGTGCTGTTTTGCAAATTAACAGTCACAGTGTGTCCTTTCCCCACGTCGGCTCAGCTAATCAAAACCTCCTTCCAAATTCAAGTCACTATATGACTTTCATCAGTTAAATTGTTTCGTTTTTATCAAGTAACATTAGAGCCCAAACAGTTAAATATGACGAGCCAGTAAGGCCTGGGTTCAGAGTCTTGTACTGGAAAACATTTTCAGACCTTGATTACAGCATGCTGCCTGTCCTATCAGTAATAAGGAAAGAAATCCAGTTTGTAACTTTGTCCAGATCAAGCATCTGGGAGCACAAGCATGTGCTGCACCTTTCACATCTCAGACAGATGTAACACATCGTCTGCAGTAAGATGCCAGTGGTTCTAACTCTGCTGTAACTGGTGGGGAGAAACCTGTTGTCTTTATCTTGTCAATACACAGCCATGGTGTTACAGAGCTGTCGTGGGTGCTTTGGACTCAGATATCTGGTAATCACAGTAACCAACTGCTTTAGAAGTATAGCGGCATCCTTAGTGACTTGTATTTGGGTTTTGATTTATAAAATATGATACATAAAATCACAGCTTTTAAATGTTAAAATAAAGGGATTATGTTCATGCAACAACTATCCCAATTACCATTTCAAAATGCTATTCCATAGAATAAAAAAGGAACATGAATATATACTGCAGACCAACTTGGTTCAGTCCATATCTACACCTCTCTTTCCTAAACTGCCTTTGGTAGAATCTTTACTGAGAAGTGTGGATCAGTTACTCCGGTACTTGAGGGAGCACAGGGTTTGTTATGTTGGGCAGATTCATTTTAGATGGATGGCTGCCCCACCAGCAGATATCTGCAGTGCAGAAGATGCAGAAGATGATAGAATTATAGAACGGTTTGTGTTGGAAGGGACCTTTAAAGGCCATCTAGTCCAACCTCCCCTGCAATGAGCAGGGACATCTTCAACGAGATCAGGTTGCTCAGAGCTCCATCTGACCTGATTTGGAATGTTTCCAGGGATGGGGCATCCACCACCTGTTGGTGGGAAGCTTCCTGTTAATCTGTGGTGAAACTGTTTCTTGTAAAGGCACTACAGAGAAATTCTGGAAACATGCATGTTTTGTTGTTTATCGTAAATGCATAAAATGGCTTCCATCTTCCATTGTTTTAAGGTATGTTCAAATGGCATTATGGAATGCTGGCTAAAGACACTCGGGCAGCCTGAAGACACGTCCTCATAGGTAGCAGGAGCAGTGAAGCGGCGGTAGCGCAGCAGTCCACCTGTCCTACATGCCAGTGGGGCTAATTCATCCAAGCAGAGTGCTACACTTAGGTGGTAAGTTGTTTTTAAGTTGCGTTTATTTCTTGCACATGAAGGTACTTCACATTGTTATCGTGTTCCATGAATCTCTTCAGCAGCTGGCATCTAAGTGTCATCACATGATACTACTGTACCTCAAGACAAGCAAAAATGGCAGGCATCAGTCTGACTGTATTTAGTAAATTTACTGTATCTCAACACGTGTAGTTTTGCTGTAATTTGAAATACGTTAAAAGATGAAATTACGTTGTATAACTGCTCTGTAAGATATTTTCCTACTGATGCCCCAGCTGTGTATATACCAAGATTGTTAAATTAAGCAATACTGAAATAGCATCTTTCAGGGCTAATTAGCTTTGTTAATTGTTTTCTTGTAAGAAATCCAGGGAAATTGCATTAAAGATTGAAATAGACCCCTGTTAATTCTATACTGCTGCTGTACAGCAGACCTTTTTGTAGGACAGGAAAACAGTTTGATGCATTTGAAAGAAATATTGATTTGCTTTGCTTGCTTTATGTTTTTATGTAATCAGTGGGATTTGCATATCTCTCTCCTCCGCGACAAAATTTCCCATGGGTCCAGGGAAAATTTTTCAGAAGTAGGATGTTTGAAGCAGGGCAGGACTGAGGAATGACATGCTGCCCTTCCAGAAATACAATTATACAGAAGGATAAATCACCTTTTAATTGGAGATGATGTAGTCTGAATTATTTTTCTGCCACATTTCCTCAAAACACAACTACACGAGGAATTAAAAATGTGATAGCTTCTTAGCACCCTCTATCACCTATATTCTCCCACTGGAATGACTGAACTTTAAATGATGATAAATTTGTTAGTAGCATT